ATTGTCGGATATTTGACTTCTAAATTTCCTTCGATAAATATATTTTGTATATATGCACATTATATTAATTGTATAATATCTGTCAGATACAAATATAATTTTGCAATTTGAATTAATGCGTCCCAGCAGCATGTTTGGATATGTTTGTCGCACACGATCAGATAAGACCTCTTGCCAAGTCTGTTCCAAGTTGTTGTAGCAAGTCTAGAATCGAATTTGGGCCTTCTCCAGGCGTTCAGAACGAGCCATCGTGGCTTGGCGGCTTCTGCTACTAAATTTGAAGGAGTATGCAGCATAGCGCACAGCAATTCGCTGGCAAACCAGGGGAATTTTCCTTTTCTGCAGCCGCCTCCCATCTTGCTGCAGGAAGGAGCAAAGGACCCTTATGGATCACTGCATTCGCCGTCCCTGGCATGTAATCATTTTGCCGGAATTCATTTCGCTCATTGATCAACTGGGGCATGGGTTGTGAAACACAGGAGAAATTGAGCCTGAAGCGCACCTGAAAATAATCATAAATAAGGCAGAAAATGCATGAAATGGCTACATGGCCCATTGAATGATGTGACCCATTATTCTGTCAGTATACTTCATCTTTGTCCTGACCTTCTTGTCTCTCTCCTCTCCGGCTTCAGCAATTGCGTCTAAAGACAAAACCTGCCTGTAGATGCATCATGCTCGGTGCTGGTGCCTTCATTGTGGAATTCACGCTGCACGTCCTGCCAGCCGTGGCAAGTCAATTTCCGGAGGATATCGGTGCTGTGTGCAACGTGGCGAAAAGATCGTCGGAATTGACGCGTAACTTTGTACTTCTGTTGTCCTATCTATGCCAACGATTTTGTAGAATTTCGAGTCTGAAGACCACAACTCTTGGTCTCCACCGAGTAGATTTAATGAAGACCGGCTAGGTCATACTGGGCTCATTTTCCGTCGAAGCAGATGCGCCAATCAAACAATTGCCTCAAAGCACCTCCATGATTGGACAGCTGCATTTTGCATGTTTCTGTTGAGATGGCTTTTTAATACGTTGAATTAGATTGGTCGGTCACTTGACTTTTTGTGAACCTTTCTGCTCGTTGTTCCTTTGGTTTGAAGCGTTCGTGGCATGCTGCCACGACTACCTTCTGGGCATTAGATGCTGGGCAGCAGTTGCTAGGGCTGCTATTGTTGTCGGGTGGTCATGTCGGACATTTCTCTCACCAAGAAGAAATTCATTTAGAAGAGCACACAAGGCATTAGGCAATTCAAGAGATGGGTCAAGATCGGGAAGCATTCCATACCAAACCTTTACCGTTTTCCTGGCAGAGTCGAACTAGACTTGGTTGCAAAAGAAACTTCCGGGGGCCTTGTTTCAGCAAGGATGCCAAAAAAGGCCGACAAGTCTGGTGCTACTTCGCATCCTGGCGTCTTGTTTGCACGTCGAAGGTTTGCAATTGGGCTGTTCCCGTTGCACGCTTCCAAGTTCATACACAAAAACAAAGTTGGTGGTTTCAGATGTCTTAGCATGAAGACGACCTTGGGTTACTGCCCACCATGCTATCACACGGACTTGCAATTTTCTCTCCCTGGCCTAGCTACCTGACCTAGCTACCAGCATGCAAGCGTATGCCGTATGCACATAATTTCGGATGGACGAGGGCGCACCCCTGCACACCTGCCCCAATATGTATTAGCTTTGCGTTCATCACATACTCTCCATAACCTACGGCAATACTGCAATGAGTGCGACATAGTGAGACAGAATTGTCTGGCAAAAGATGGTAGATGATAGAATATATAATTATATATATATAATTATATATATATATAATTATATATATAATTTTATATAATTAAATAAATATATATATATATATTATATATAATATATATATAATTATATATATATAAATAGATGATAGAATATATAATTATATATATAATTATATATATAATTTTATATATATATATATTTAATTTTATCTAATTAAATAAATAATATATATATATTCTCTCTATTATCTCTCTCATCTAATATAATCTCTATAATTCACTATCTTAACTAATCTCTATTCCCTATCTCTACTATATACAATCTCTCTCATATATACCATATCTTCACCTATTTTAATCATATATCTATCTATAATATAATCTATCTCCCTACTCTATCCGAATCCTATCTAATCCTATCTAATCCGCTCTAAATCCTATCTCATCCTATCTCATCCTATCTATCCTATCTATCCTATCTCATCCTCATCTAATCCTAGCTAAGCCTATCTATTCCTATCTATTCCTATCTATTCCTATCTATTCCTATCTATGCCCATCTATTCCTATCTATTCCTATCTATTCCTATCTATGCCCATCTATTCCTATCTATTCCTATCTATTCCTATCTATTCCTATCTATTCCTATCTATTCCTATCTATTCCTATCTATTCCTATCTATTCCTATCTATTCCTATCTATTCCTATCTATTCCTATCTATTCCTATCTATTCCTATCTATCTTTATCTATCTATCTATCTATCTATCTATCTATCTATCTATCTATCTATCTATCTATCCCTATCTATCTATTCCTATCTATCTAATCCTATCTATCTAATCCTATCTATCTAATCCTATCTATCTATCTATCTATCTATCTATCTATCTATCTATCTATCTATCTATCTATCTATCTATCTATCTATCTATCTATCTATCTATCTATCTATCTATCCTATCTATCTTATCTATCTATCTTATCTATCTATCTATCTATCTATCTATCTGATTATGATATGTGTATTATATGATGGAGTATGATGGCATGTGTTTTACCAGGCAGATTGATGGAGGGACCGGGTGAAGTTGCCAAGGCTATGAAGAGCGACTGCGGAACGCGCCGGGACTGGCAGAGGTGCTGGTCATCCTCAAGGAGGCTTCGGCCACAAAGAGCCAGGGGTCCCAGGGGCCTACCAAGTCGTGCCCGAAACCTGTGTGCCCTGTGTGCCCTGTGTGCCCTGTGTGGTTGCTGTGGTTACTGTGGTTCAGATATGCTGAATTTCTCCGAAGTTATATCCGAAGTCATTTGAAGTCAACGGTCGTTGCTTCTTTCATGTTTGGTGATTTTGCTGCTGATGCTGGGAAGCTTCCGGTGCAGTGAGGTGAACAGTCTAGAAGTTTCTTCTTTCAAGCACTCAGTGTGCTAGCTCAAAAGGCTTGGTTCGCAATTGCTCGCTGTGCCACTGTTTTCGTGGTCCACCAGAATTGCTGTTCTGGCACTCTTCCCACTTGGACAGCCAACTTTGATGCATATTTATCCTCCTTCAAATTTTAGCTACGTAAAGGGGAGGACTTAGGCTACAGTACAGAATGCCAGCCAGGGGTCGTTTTGTACAAAAAGGAGGAGTTGGGACCACCTTTTTGTATTTGCATTCATTTTGTAATTGATTCCTTTCAAATTTTCATTTGCATTTTGTAGTTGTATATGTTGAAGTGAGAAGAGGTGAACAAAAGGAAACAGTGCGTGACATGTACATGGACACAAACAGATCATGAAACTACAGAATGCCATCTAACAAACTGCACGGAGTCAACACTTGATCCAACTAAATTCAATCATTGACAACTACAAAATGTTCTCCGAAATTATGTTGGTCGGAACTTTGGATGGCATAGACCCAACTACAAAATGTCATTGGGAAAAATCATGTTCGCAATTCCGATTTTCAGCTATTTTTTTGACTTCAGATGCATTGGATTTTGTAGTGCTGATTTTGAATTATTTTCCGAGTCAGAAAAGGTTGTGTTCTGTATTTTGTAGCTGCAAAAAAGGTACCATGCACTGAATTTTGTACTTGCACACCGTATGCATTGCGTTTTGTACCTACCAAAAGCCTCTGCACAACTCCTCCCCCCTTATCTGAACCCTGATGCATATTTTCTATCTTGTTTCGTGAATTGAATTGGATTTGGCTTCTGCATATTGCACAATGGGGAGCCCAACCATCAGACTCCAAGTGTGGAATACAAGAGACACTTCCAAGCTATGCCGCTATGCCAGGCGGCTGCGACAAGTGCAGCCAGTGCAGACTGCAAAGTGGCAGCTGTCCAACAAGGAGAATGGCTCTTGGAGTTACTTTCCCAGTCTGCCAGTGCTTTTTCAGTCAGAAGCCTGCAGTGAGCATCTGCTTGCACGTGCTGTACGCTGCTGAGGTCGTGCTCCAAGCTGGATGGTGGCAAACCGCAGGTAGCTGATTTATTTTGATTTTGCCAAATGAGTGACATGTGGGTATGTCACGTACGTCATCATCTAAATATGAACATCAGGTTTACAAGCTATGCGGACAGGTGCATGGTTTGGTTGGCTTTGAATTGGTAGAAAAACTGGGACAGGTGGTCGGAAGATTGCAGCTTGAAAGCTTGTTGGCGTTCCTGTCTCGCAGGAGAGTGCGGTGACTTCGATGGTGCGGGTTTGCTGTGCCTGTGGAGCTCAAGACAAAGCGCTGAAATTGGTTGCAGAAGCTCAGGTGCCTTCCCCCTGGGATAGCAGGGGGAGTGACAGTTTTAAGTGCCTAATTTTATCTAATTTTGTGATTGCAAAAGGGAGGGCAGATGGAGTTAGGTCACTCCCATCATGAGTGCACCTTGGAAGGCTAAGGGCGTCAAGCCGCGCTTGCGAACCCTTTCCGCAGTGCTGCTCCAGGCACACCTGTTAGAGTGACGCTGGGATCACTGGGAGTGTTGCGCTTTAGAGTTGCTGGGGCCATCCATGCTTTCATTCTATATATACATATATCAAAATATTATTATCATTTTGTGCCACCGGCTTAAGCACAGAAGCAAAGATGATCACCACCTGCTGTGTAGCTGCACAGGTGCGATAGAACACGGGAAGGGGGCAGCCAGAGCAGCCAGAGGTAAGTGATTTGCTGCCTTTGCTAGCCAGGCCTCTGAAGCAGGTGACCATGGTCTCTGTGAGAATGTCTGGGCGCAGCTGCCGAGCCTGGGACTGGAGCCACAAGACTCTGAGTGGGGAGCCTCAGCATATGGCTATCAAGAGGTAGGTGAAGAGGTGGAGTCAGATAGAGGTGTGGATGCTTGCAGGGCGTTTCAGGAGAGAGGTAGCTCAGGTAGCTCTCTGTTTCAGGGTCGGAAGTGGATGGTACTTGGAATGTCAGGGCGCCAGCAGACATTTTGTGAGATGGTCTGCGCAGGTTTGCCATAATGTTGCGGACATTCCGTGGAGAACCGAAGCGCTTCCTCCTCAGGACTAGGCCGATTAAAGTATCCCAGTTTTGCCATGTTCTCCTTGGCATTCCCACAGATCGCATCATTTCAAATCAGTGTGAGGTCAATACGCTTTGCTACGGCAGCTGATTGAAGAGCTGCCAATGCCATCAGATCCACCGCTGATCGAAGAGATAGGTCGCGTCTTTGGTGTTGAAGGCCTCATGCAGCGGAGCAGCCTGTGCATTGTGGTCTGCGAGTGTGTTAACCGGAAATATGATACACAGGGACCGAGACCAGACGGAATCGGTCACCCATTAGCAGAGTCAGACCACAGTGAGTCAATCACCCCCCACGTCCGAGTTAGTCACCCTCCACAGCCCCACTGGGGGCGAGGGGTGACTGCCCAGTGGCGTGCCTCGTGGGCCATCAAAGTGACATGGTTTCTTTAGGGTTGGTTCAGGGTTGTTTCAAGATGTATTGGGGTCTATTTTGGGTTGGTTTTGGGTTGGTTTAAGGTACTGTATGGTTCAGGATGAGCATTGTAGGCCTGTGGCGATAGCGCTTGGTTGGAAAAATGGCACCCGGACCTCGCAAAGGCGTAGGTTATGTCGCTGCAGGCAACCCTCAGGGCCACAGCTCCTGAAGGGGCTTAGCGGCTTAGCGGCTTAGCAATGCTTAGCAGCTTCACATTGGAATCTGGATTTTGGGATGTTTCACTCCACATGAAGTCCAAGTGAATCAAGTTTCATGATGAGCGAGTGAGATTGCTGAAGGAGTTGCATGCAGGGCACTAGTTTTCCAAAATGGTTTCATGCCCTTTTTTCAATTTTGTGTTGAAGTGCTCCAACTTCCCCCAAATTGCCCCCCACCTGCAAGGGCCCCGCATGCTGTGGCGATCGGTTTCACTGAAAACGCAAAACTCATAGTTTTGATGGATTTTGCGTTTTTAGTGAAAATAAGAAACCTTAAAAAAACGCAACTTGTTGTGTTTTCATGAAAAGTGGGAAAACAACACTTTTTCATGTACCTTCAGATGGTCAATTAGAGGAAAACTCATATGTGACAGATGATTTTGCCGGGTCATCGCAGAAGGTACCTATCTCTTTTGGCTCTATTTGAACCTATCAAACATGCTAAAACAGGTTTTTCCACATGCGATTTTATAATTTTCCTCAGTGGCATTACGTGGCGTTATCTTGCGTTGCCAGGACTGCTGTAAAACGGCATATTCTGCGTGTTTGTCAAATATAATATAAGGTGTTGAGGTTTTGCGATTGAAAGTGGGCCTCTGCAATTTGATTTCTTTAGGTGGATCTCTCTATATTTATATAATTATATATATATGTATATATATATAATTATATATATACAGTACAGATTGTCTGGCAAGGAGCCATTATTTTTGAATATATTTGAATGTTAACTATTTCATTTTTTCTTAGATAAGTTGCAAATAAGTTACTTTCTGTCATTTAACTCCAGGACCAAGGGAACTTGTGAAATCGGCAGTGATTGCTCTTGTGTGTTTGTGTATATATATACATGTATTTGATAGCATCGTTACGCTCATACCATAGCATACAGTTCTATAAATGCGACGACTCCGAAGATGCATGTATGCACAAGGTCTTGCTTTATTTGATTTTTCTTTGGTTTTGCACGTGCATTGAAACTGACACATTGTGTTTTAATTCATGGTGTGCAGCAATCTTTCCAACACCAAACCAAAGAAATTGGAAAGAATCATGAAACCCAGTGCAAAATACAACATCAGATTCAGAGGCGCAACATCAAGGACAAACACAATTTTAACCGCTTATATATTTGGATCCAACCAGCAGGGAATCCAACCAATGGCAACCATCAGGATCCATTTGCGATACAAAAAGGGGATAGGTGGCGTTGATCAAATCTGAGGATCTTCCACGGGTTGTTGCATTGTGCTGAACGCGCAGAAATATGAATATGTAATTTTCCAACCTTCCAACGGGTTAACCCTAAATTAAAACATATTAAAACTGATGTCATTAGTTTGCATATTTTGTGCGTGGGCCTGTGCCGCCTGTATTGTGGGGCTGCACGCCGCCAGCAAAAATAAGAACAAAGTGCGTCCTGCGGTTGATAATGGGTCTTGAGATAGGCTGAAAAAAAGTCGTCCTAAATCCGCCTGAACGACCCCGAATTAATTGAACGAAAAGCTCTGGATTTTGAGTTTTGGTCTTAAGTCCCACTCGCGAAATTTACCTCCGGAGATAGGCTGAAAAACATGTTTTTCGTCCCAAATCTAGGGTCTGAGGTACGTTTCGTCCTAGTCCTAAGTCAGCCGCGCGTTTTGTACCCCCCAAGATAGGCTGAACCCCGCCTCAACCCCAGGATCTAATTAGGCTGATTTTTTTTCTCGTCCTAAATCGGGGGGCGCGTTTTGCGCACTGGACTTAGGCCCAGATCCCATTTAGCCACCAGCATTGAACATATCATCAATATTGGATGTTTACCGCAACACTTTTGAGCCACATTTTATCACGCGTGAACAGGATCTCAAACTAGAAATTTGTTACAGCAGCTTAGTGAAAACTTATGATAATTCAGAGGCGTACTGTGCTTTGCGCCGTCGTGGCGCCTAGATGAACACGTTGTACTTATATGAATGCTTCCAAAGCTTGGACTCATCAATATTTAGCTGCATTGAAACAAAACGTTCACACTATTCAAACACATAGTTTAACAATTTGAAATAGGAACCTTTGGTGACATAACATCTACTCAAAATGACCTGGAAAAAACATATATTTATGGTGCATCTATATATCAATCGCCGCATGTCACTGGGATTCTTTCAAAAAAGAAATGAGGAAAGCATTCGAAAATCAACATTTGGAAACTTCAATGGGGGAACGCATTTACAAGTGTTGGGGGTTTAAAACGTAGGGAGGGAACAAAATCCAAAACGATGGGGTGGAATCCGTAACGGGGGGACCCATACAATAAAATCTGATGAACGAGCAAGGAAATAAAGTCTGACATGGGTAATGATAAATTTATGAATTTGAAAACGTTCGGGGATAGTCTGGATGGATATACTACTGGAATCTATTGGACCGTTATAGTAAATACTATGCAACGGGCGATTTTGAAAACAAACGGGACTCCAGAAGTCTTATTCCGGGAAACCAGAACGGATCAGGATACAAATGTATCTCGCTGGCATTTAGTACGAAGGAAAACTTGTATATATAATAAATCTGACAGTATCTAAATCCATGACTGCAAATTAGAATTAAACCCAAATCAAATTCAAACAGCTCTGAATCAAATGCAATTCCTTTGTTCTTCCAAATCCTTTGCGACACTATGTAGCGCTACTTGAAATGCTGCAAATTACCTGATTCACTTTATTTTATGCTGTGTTGTTTTTTTGTGGCACTAAGTGGTCCGATCAGAAACGCTTAAAAAACGCATTCTTTGCCTTATTGTAAAAGTTTGGTTCCGCAAAAAAACCCGTGAGGCTTTGTGACGCAATGAGAAACACTGCAAGGCAATGTTGTGGGATTTTGCTGGTTTTCTACCTGGGTAATTTTAAGGCGCAATCAGAAGTTGGAATCGCTTCTATAGGCACTATGGGCGCTATGGGCACTGTGCCAAAAGGTTGAAAAAAGGTGAAATTTGGAAAATTCGCAGTCTTTCAAAATTGGCTGTGGGCACTATGGGCGCTATGGGCGCTATGGGCGTGATGCCAAAAGGTTCAAAAGAGGTGAAATTCGGAAAATTTGCAGTTTTTCAAAATTGGCTGTGGGCACTATGGGCGCTATGGGCGGTATGGGCGCTATGGGCGTAATGGTAATGCCAAAAGGTTTAAAAAAGGTGAAATTATGAAAATTTGCAGTTTTTCAAAATCGGCCTTGGGCACTATGGGCACTATGCCAAAAGGTTAAAAAAAGGTGGGTTTTCCAAAATTGGCTGTGGGCACTATGGGCGCTATGGGCGCTATGGGCGCTACGGGCGCTATAGGCGCTATGGGCGCCATGGGCGTGATGCCAAAAAGTTCAAAAAAGGTGAAATTTGGAAAATTCGCAGTTTTTTCAACAATGGCTGTGGGCTATGGGCGGTCCAAAATTGGCTGTGGGCACTATGTGCGCTATGTGCACATGTAGATATTGATATTCTTGACATTTTAGGCTGTGTTTATGGGAGAAGGTGGCCGCGGAAGAGCAGGGAAAGTGGAAATCTGTATCTCCAAAGTTTATCCTCTTCTCCGACGAAGTTGTTGCTGCATATTTTGATTGACCAATCGGCACCAAAGACTCTACATGCGTTGTTGAAATCACTGCTGCAAACTTCGCTGCCTTTTTGTGTTTCGACTTGCCCAACAAATTGTTGATTTTTGCAAGCAGGTTTTGCAATTCGTGTGGATACAGCCAGATTTCCGCACAAAACAAATGCCGGTGTTCTTTGCATGTTGGTACTCATAGTCTGGAATTGCTGCTTTTCAGCCTTATATTCTCCCAGGTCTTTGGTTCACTGTTGTCGACGGGCATCGCTGCCGGGAGGAGGGAGGACTGGTGCACTGCGCTGATTAAGTGAAGTTTCACTGGCTCTAAAGCCTGACCAAACTCAAAAGATAGGTCCTTTCCGGTGATTCTCATGTGCTACTGTTACCTCTTGTTTTTTTCTTTGATATCGGTACTGTAGGTACAATTTTTAATGTTTTAGTAGAAAATACTCGAATAACCCCTATGCCGTGTATGCATGTTCATACCACATAGTGGTCCCAAAACGGAGCCCACTATATTGTTGTTGCCTTTGACTATAAAGTGTACATAATGTCAGGGTTTTTACAACGGGAATAGACTATTCAAATAGTTATCGACAATGATAACTCATTTCCTTAATCCTGTAATCCGGGGTTTTGGTCATCAAACCATTTACTTGGCCAACAACGTTTGGCTCAAGGTGCCCGCTAAAACAGGTGTCGTTGCTTAGTGTCACTGGCCATTGTTACATCTGTTGACTACTGCATCTTGAATACACGTGAATATTACTTCTGGTACAATCCCCGCATTCACTGGATTTACTGGATTTTTGTGGTTATCAGCCGTAGCCCGGCTTATTTCTGCAGTTGTGAGATCAATTGGGAGCTATTGAAAGAC